TGTAATGTAAGTGTAAATAAAACACAGCTCCACAGTTAGGTCATTGTTTTCCTGGACTTCTGCACATCTGCCTGCATTAGTGTCAAGCATGCTCCTTTCCCTACTTTACATGACAACTGTTCTGGTTTCATTTATGTTGCTGTGACATAACGCTGGTGAAAAGCAATTCAGGGGAGAAAAGGGTTTATTTCAGCATGCAATTCCTGACCACAACACTTCTTTGTGTGAAGTCAAGACAGGAACCCAAGACAGGGTCTTTTGATTTTTCGAGACAGGGTTTCTCTGTGGCTTTGGAGGCTGTCCTGGAACAAGCTCTTGCAGACCCAGGCTAGTCTCGAACTCACAGAAATCTGTCTGCCTCCGGCATGCACCACCAACGCCTGGCTACCAAGGCAGGATCTTGAAGGCAGGTCTGCTTGCTATTCCACAAAGCATTATTTCTAACCTAGGAACCCACGTCACAGCCAAAGAAGGACAGCAGGGAGCAGGGGTGAGGAGTGGAGGAGGGAAGCTGCTTGCTGGCTGACTCAAAAGCTGCCTTACATCCAGCTACCTTTGTATGCAGTTCAGGCTGCTTGCCTAGGGATGGTACCACCCCCAGTGGGCAGGGCCCTCCTGCATCAGTGAGCAACCAGAACAATCCTGAACAGACACACCTGTAGATCACCTGATCCAGGTAATTCCTCCCTTGACCTCTCCGCTCAGATAAATCTAAGATGTGTCAAGTTGACAGTTAAAGCTCATCGGCACAATAGTCTAACATCAATTTGTAAATTATACTTGTAATGGCTGAGTAACATTTATGCTTATAGTTTAATTTTAGTTGAACCATTATCATAAAAGGCATGAAAACCTACCTACTTGTTGTACTGAGGTTACCTAAGTCTATAGATAAATTAGGGGGGCCTGCTCATTTCTCTTTTATTTTTTAAAATTTATTTATTATCTATAGTGTTCTGCCTGCATGTATGCATACACACCAGAAGAAGGCACCTGATCTCATTATAGATGGTTGTGAGCCATTATGTGGTTGCTGGGAATTGAACTCAAGACCTCTGAAGGAGCAGCCAGTGCTCTTAAACTCTGAGCCATCTCTCCAGCCACATTTCTCTTTAAAAAAAGAAAGATTTATTTCTTTATTATGTATACAGTGTTCTGCCTGCACATATGCCTTCAGGCCATAAGAGGGCACCAGATCTCATTATAGATGGTTGTGAGTCACTATGTGGTTGTTGGGAATTGAACTCAGGACCTCTGGAAGAATAGCCAGTGCTCTTAACCTCTGAGCCATCTCTCCAGCCTGCCTGCTACATTTCTAATCTAGAGATAAAGTAAATCTTTCCATTCTTCAACTTTATTTTCTGATCTTTTATTAGATCCTTACCTAGAAATACAATATGTTTTACACATTATCATTAATTTAGCAACTTTGAAGATTCATTTAATGTTTCCCTCTGACTCACCACTAGACTATTATGAGCATTTTAAACTCAGCCTATACTTTCTGGCTTCTTTTAATGGATCATAGATGTTGTTACTCCTAGTTTCCCTTGTTTAAGAGCTTTGATCCAAATGACTTGTTTTTGGGGACAATTGTGTTACTGCCAAAATCTTGTTATGGAACTTTAACCAAAATTATATTTCTCACATATAGACCTTATCTTTAGATCTTTACCTAGGATCATTTTGGATCAAAGCTTTTGAATGTACCAGACAGTTATTTGGTATGTGTGGGAGTTCTCAACAGTTTCTTCCCAAAATTATACCCCAGACATCTCTGAGACATCAATTATCTTCCATTAGTTGGGCACACCCACACTGTCCTGCTCCTCCTGCCCAAATCTTGGCATCAGCCACTCTTCTAGCGGCCTGGGGTGCTCTGACTTGGCACTGCTGACCCCAGGCAGTTATGCAGATGTGGGTAGGATAACCATGGAAACTCAGGGGGGCTTAGTCACTAGGAGGGGACATTCAGAGTCAAAGCTTGGGGAGTGACCCTCAGGACACTAACTTCTTATCAGACACGTGTTTTGCAAATGTCTCTGCTTGTCCTGCGGGATATCTTTTCATTTTGCTGTGGGAAAGCTCCTCAAGTCCATGTATTCACGCAGCGTTCCAGGTATTTGTTTTTGTTGCATGTGCCTTTCGGTGTCATATCAAAAAGTAGGATAGAAGCTGTCATTTAGAAGATCAGTCATGGCTGGAGAGTTGGCTCAGTGGCTAAGAGCACTGGCTGCTCTTCCAGAGGATGTGGGTTGGATTCCCAAGACCCACATGGCAGCTCACAACCATCTGTAACTCCACCTCAGGGGACCCAACACTCTTTGCTGGCCTCTGAAGGCACCAGGAATGTACAGAGTACACATATAGAGATGCAGACAAATGCCCATACACATGAAATTAATTAATTGATATATTTTAAAGGATAAATCAATTCTAGAACTCAGCATGGTGAATGTGGTTGTTGATACTGTATTGTTTACTTGAAATTTGCTGAGAAAGTAGAGTCAAAGTGTCCTTACAACCCCGGCCCCAATACATTCAACATGGTAACTGCATGATGATTGATGTGTTAACTAATGTTACTGTGGCAACCTTTCATGCTGTATGGCAAATTTTATTGAGGTATAATTAAATAAAAGTTGTATCCACTCAATGATGACTAGGATGATAAGCATAGCTGTTAATTTCCCACACAGTTCCTACTAATGTGCTTGCAGTTTTAAAACTTGTAAAGTTAACTTACGTATTTATAAAATATGTGTTAGTAATGTGCCATATATATGTATATATATAGTGTGTGTGTGTAACTTGCATGTGTTTCTGAATCATAAGTGATGATAGTTTTAGAGGGGGTCATTTTGGTTTGGATCACTTTAAAGGGAAAATAGCAATGGTGATTTTACCCAAGTTCAGTTTTGAGTAGCTTTTGCTTATACCTGAGCACCCCAGCAACTTACTGCAGTAAGTTGCTGGGGTGCAGTAAGTTGCTGGGGTGCTCCTCAGATCTGCAGGTAGAGTCTTGTACTCACAGAGTACCCCACTAGGTGAGAACTACAGCATCTGAAACAAATAGCACACTGCCAAATCAAACCCATTCCAAAAAGTACAGCAAGAATCGCCAGTTCCCCCGCAAGTTGCTGATATCTATTGGATTATCTAGACACTGACTTTTATGAGGTCTACTGCCTGTCTGGATCTTTGTGAAAACCCAAACCATTTTTCTCTTGTCTATGTCACCATCACCCCTGTGACATACAGCATAAAAGTCTGCTGTATTTTGAGGAAACAACATTAAAATCCTTTCTTGCTTGTTTTCTTGTTCTAGAAAATGAATTATGGTAATTATTTATCCTTCCTGGCTAGGTTTCCCTAGGAAGACAACTGCTGATCACATGTTCAAGCTTTAGAAAGCAACCATCCTTCCCCTGTGTTAGTCAGGACTCTCTAGAGAAACAGAACAAATTGTGTATGCTGGTGTGCTCATGCATGCATGCGTGTGTGTGTGTGTGTGTGTGTGTGTGTGTGTGTGTGTGAGTGTAGAATTCACAAGGAATTAGTTGAATAAGACACAAGCCAACCAATGTTGAAATGATGCTGGAGCAGGACAGAGGAACTAGGAAACACAGGAGCTGTGGCAGGCCACGCCTATAATCAGTACCTCCACTTGAACTCTGAAGGGCACACTGCACATTCAAATTTGCCTTTGGGAACACTGTGGAATTCAAAATAAATACATAAATACCTACTTTCATCCCACATTTGGCTGAATCCAATGATATGAAACTGTAGATAGATCTGACTGTATTTATACACACGTACATAAACACACACCGAGGAAGATGTTTTAAGGAACTTGCTTATGCAGCTGAGGTTACAGTTCAAGTTGGAAGTACAATACAGGTTGAAAGCAGAACTCCTTCTTCCTTGGAAACTCAGTCTTTTTTTTAAGGCCTCCAATTGCTTTGATGAGGCCCATCCTCTTAAGGAGGGTAAGGTACTCAATGGCTACTGTTAAATTCATCTAAAAACAAACAAAAAAACTCACAGCAGCTAGCATTTGATCAAACATCGTGGTCTATGGCCTAACCAAGTTGACAACTTCCACCAGCCACCGAGCACTCACAACTTCACCAGAGTGGAACTTAGATGGCAGTCTGAAAGCCAGGCTCTTGGAGACTACTCAGTGCGTGCTTCCAACGAAGCGGGTGGGGTCCCCACACCCCAGTTTGCAGAACAGATTCATTCAGGATCCTAATGAGCCAGAGACAGCCTCAGGGTGAAATCCATCCCGCTATGTGGCAGGTCCCAACTCCTCCTACTACTGGGGCCTCAACTAGACTCACAGAAGAAGATACTTGGTTTGCTTCTGATCCGAAACAGTCAGGGGTTTGGATGAGTTCCCCAAATTCACACGACAGAACCTCAGCTCCCAGTGGCAGAGGTGCTGGGAGGTGATGGGGCCATTAGAACTCTGCCCTGGTAAATGGAATAATCTGCTCATGGATTGTAGGATTGTAGGCTGTTGTAGGAGTGGTCTTGTTGTCAGCTGCAGCATGTGTACTTAGCATGCACAAGGCCACATTCAACTCCCAGCACCAACAAAAGAGAACAAACACATAAAACAGAGCTCTCTCTACCATGCTTCCTCTGTCTTGTTATGTGGCCCCCTCTCTGCCATCACCATTTGTCACAAAGGCTCCTACCATGGTGACTCCATCTTGTAGACCTCACAGGCTGCAGAGTATGAGCTAGATAAACCTCTATAAGTCCCTGTTCTCTGCTATTTTTGTTATAGCAAATGAACTAAAAATATGACAGCTAAGTCTGGGCATAATCAAACCAAAAACCCTGGTGAAGGTATGGGCTGAACTGTACCCTCTTCACTTTACAATCGGCCTTTAGATGCAGTTTCCCTCCCAACACCCGCCCTCCACCTTAAAACCAACCTCTAGAAGCTGAGCTTCCCTCCCAAGATCCACAGACCGAATCCACAGGGATGTTCTTCTAAAACTGCTTTATTTAAATAAGGTCTAAATCAGGTGCATTTAAAATAAAAAAAGGTTACAAAACCATGGCTTCCCACTGAGACCTCATCAAATCATGTCAAGATGCCTACACACATCTGTTTATCAGTTCAAAACCAATCGTTGAACTAAGTCGTGTACCATTCCTAATAGGCAAGTTATGACAAAGAAAAAAGACTACACGTAACTAGGAGGGAGACTGAAGGAACACTAGCAGTAACCCCAGAAGCCAGCAGCCTGGATACCGGGGCTTTTCCGAAAGTTCACAGTTAAGCACCTCTGCTCTCAGTTCAGTGGGAACAGGAGGGGGTGTGTGTGTATCTCAAGACTTGGTGAGCACTTTCAATCGGTCTGCAAGAAGGAATGTCCCACTGAGCCAAGTTTATTCTCATGATGCACTCTCATCTGTCAGGAGCCAGACTTTACAGAAAACAGCCCAAGTAAAAACTTCAGAACTGTGGAAGTGAGCTCCGGGCAGCCTCCTGTCTCCTCCCTCACCCTGGGCTGGTCTCGCTGTTGTGGGACACTAAACATCCTCTGGTCACCGGCCGTATTTCTTTCTTGGAAATTTCTTTCTTTCCTGATCCCCAAATTCTCCATGTTACAAAGCTTCCAGTAAAATATGGCTTTTCTTTTGAAATTTTATTTTTGTCATTTTGTAAGAACTGGTATTTCTTGAGTGCTTCTTGCCATTTGGACAGTTTCCTCATCCACCATCCTGACACCAAATAAACACACAAAACACAATCCTTGCCAAGATTTTTGCACAAACAACAGACTTGGGAAGATCATCATATGCCACAGATAAAATGATAAAGTGTCTTTATCTGGAAGTTTCTAGAAACAGTTAGGAAGGAGATGGGTGCAAATATTTCCTTCCAAAAATATCAACTCGTCTCAGGCCAACATCTTGGCTTTGGGCCAAGGTATTGTCCTCTTGAGGCTCTCTCCTCAGGCTCAGCTGTAGTCTGTCCAGTGTTAGCCGTGTGCCCTCCACCAGGAACACAGGCAGGCTTTGGGCCCTTTCCAACTAACACCTCCATAGGCTTTGAGCCATCGCCACCCCACTAATGTCACTGAGAATGCGAGCCTGTGCCTGATGTTCTCTTCTCTTCAGCACCTTGTAACATAAGCCTTTGCAGGAGGAAAAGGAGTCCAGATGCAGCCAAGCGCTTTTCACAAGTGGGATTAACCCCTCCCCCCATGCATTGGTCTTTTATTCCTCCGGATCTCAGGTTCATTGCACACAATTACATAAACCTACACAAAGCAGTCTTGGAGTTCAAAGCTGTGAGGCCAAGTGACACCAGTGAGAAAATCCAGTCACCACTGCAGCGATCTGTTTAGATGCAGCCATTTTAAAGGTTTCCCAAGTTCACGGGGCGGGGTGGCACTTGGTGCTGGAGTTGGAAACCAGGCCCTAACACACTAAGTAATCCCACTACCACTGGGCCACACCCAACTGCTATCTTTTTCTTCCTTCCTTCCTTTCTTTCCTTTTTTTTATGATAGTAGAGATTGAAGTTGGCTTCTCACACACCAAGTGCTCTACCACCGAATCACATTCCCAGCCAAGTTCCTAAAATTCTTGTTCAGTTATCTGGATGTTAAGAAATGATTCTAGGGGGTGGGCCAAGATGGATTACTGGATATGTACCCCAATTCTCTTTCTGGACCCCACACCTTGGCAACACCTTCTTGGAGAGCCTGGCACCTGAACTCTGCAACAGTCACAGAGTAACAGGATCACAAAGAATGTTTATAACCCAGACATCCCCTTCCAGTAAGAGCTAGTGCTCTGTGGAAAGCCCCCTAACCCCCAAGGGAGAATTATGGGGCTCTGAACATTCAAGATAAAAATAACTGGAAGGGAAATTGTCGAATTATTTTCTTACATATTTGCATCCACAGAGCTTCTCTTCATCTGTAATAAAAGGGACCCCCCCAGCTCTCTGCTGAGTTTTGTGCTTTCCTGAAGTCCACTGAAGTTTATGATTATAAGGGACACAGCATCTGCTGCCCCTAGTTTTGTGCTTTGATGATGGCTATTGAAGGGTATGACTGGGACTAAGGTCCTCTGGGTTTCCATCCCACTGCCCATGGAATGGACGGTGCTGCCCAGCAGAGGAGCTAGGTTGCTAAGTGATATCCAGCAAAATGGCTGGCCACATGCTGTCACTTGAAAGCCTACAATGAGACCTTCTAAGATGGGTGGAGAACAGCATCAGGAACATGCCTACTGCAGAGGTCCACCTTCCTTAAAAGGCACACTCGACAGGGCCCTCGGCTGCTACACTTCTGGAGTTTTCTTGAGAGCAGGCAGGGAATGACCTTCTGCTACGGCAAAGCTCAGAGGTGCGCCTGAGTTACGAGCTGCTCATCTTGCCTGGTTGTGTTTCATAGACCGGAACCAAGCTCCCAGCATCTCTGTCCCACCTTGAACGGTACAATCCACACAGGTGGCCGGCTGCAAGGGTTTCCTGAATGGAGGGGTACAGATCCATCCATGCCCGCCCATTCTGCCAATGAGGCTGGTTTTAAAATTCACCAGCATGGCTGCTCATAGGCTAAGCGAGAACCATTCTCTCAGCCCACACTATACAGGACACCACCAAAGAGCTTCCGTGATCCCTGGGTTGAATCAAAACCAGGGTGAGTCTTCATTCTGGGAATCCCTCTCCTTGTAGAAGGTGGAGGAGCTTGCAAGTGTGCAGAGCAGAAAGAATAATGTATTAGCTTCAAGTGCAAAGCCCCAACTCCACGTGGGGACGACTCTTACTGGTATGATGTGTGCAGGGGCTTGAAGGACCTGCCATTTCAGCAGGTGGTCTCTATCAGTGCTTAGAAACTTCTGAACGTGGTTTATCTCCAAACACACCCTGGCACATGGGCAGGTTAGCGTCATATTCGCTCCAGACACTTTAGTTTCAGAAGGTTTTTCTTCAAGTCAAGGAGGACACCAAGAACTGGAGTTGCAATTGAGAGAGCAGAAACACCCAGAAGTGTCCAGAAGCCAAGAACAGAGGCAGAATCCATCCTTTCCAGGTGTCCACATAGGACAGGACATTCATTGTGCTCTCTCCAATGATAACCTTTCCCGTGCAAAACACAGACTCACTGCATCTGCCCCACACTTTTCCATTTCACTGGACTTGCCCAAGGGCCTGGGACTGTCACATCACCAATTCCCAAGGATCTCACAGTCGCCCTTCCGTCTTGACAAATGGAGAGAATCTCGGCCACAAACCTTCAGGCATTCCAAATGGTGAGCCTGCAGAATCCTCTTCACTTTAAACATGGCAGATACGTGTGACTGCCATTGGCACTGGAAGAGGCCTAAGACTTAGCTACTCCCATTCGTCCTGCCCAGGAGCAGGATGTCTGCCAGCCTCGTGGCACCTGTGCTGGCTGCTTGGCCGTTTAATTGCATATGAAAGCATCAGGGAGGCATAAGGACATAATAAGTACATGTATGCACACACATGTGTGCCCACATACACACCCAGACATGTGTGCACACACACACACACACAAACACTGGGGTATGTGAACACACACATTGTGGTTCCTCCTTAGAATGAGATCTCTTAAGAATGAAACAAAGGAGGGCAGGGGTCTGGAGATTTGGAGCTGTCTGCTGCTTCTGTTTCCTACTCCAGGGAGCAATGCTGACTTTTGGGGGGTTGCAGATGTTCGTGTGGAAACATTTCTGTGGAAGAACAGTGCCTAGCTTCCCATGGGTCTTCTCAGGTCATCAGCAGCTCCTGGAGTGTCTGGATACCTCTTGTTCCTATGGCTCAGATAGTCTCAGGGGTCTCTGCTATCTCCTCCAGTCTTTGCCGAATCATTAGCCGAAGCACAGTGTACCTGGGGACAAAAGCAGCCTGAAGTAGATGACAGTCTACAACACACCTCTTCTGCCTCCCCGCCCCCCAAGCAACACCAGAGTCCAACCATCCCACTCCTTAGCTCTCATCACTGGCCACTCTCAGCCAGTTCACATACCCTTCCACACTAGGATGACAGGGAAAGAGGTCAATTCCAAATTAGACTCTTTCGCTATGGTTATAAAGTATGGAAGATGGTGGCAAGAAACAGGAAGACATCAGCAGCAACGGAGCCAGGGTCCACTGAGTGCTTACGGAGCCAGGGTCCACTGAGTGCTTACTGTGCTAGAGGTCCTATGCATAGTACTCCATATGCAGGGTATCTCAAGGACCCTAACCATGGCTGGAACATACAAAATTACCAGTATTTCGCTTTGTAGGGGAGTCTATCAAAATGGCAAGCTTATATAGTCTGCCTATACCAGTCCTGCTCTTGCAAAAGAGGCCCTTAACAACAACTGAACACGCAGCCCCATAGCTGGTGGGTGACTTCAGTCTCCTGAGATGTGCTTGAGCTCTGGCACCACTGGAGTGGGCATCATGGTACAGGGCCTGGGAGGGAGGGGCAGGCAGGCATTCTCCTCATTCTTGGAGCTGGCACTACACAGCAAAAGCTATGTTAAAGTCTAGGACATAGTATGTGTTCAATAAAATGTCAGCTGCTGTCATACTAATGACTTAAAACAGGAAATATATATTTGACTTTATCCTCCAACAACAGGTCAACAATCTTCTATTATATCCATAAAAGGTAGTCTATTCTGTGACTAAAATGAAATCATTGGTTTCTCTTAGAAAGAAGTTTGCTGAACTCTTCAACCCAAATGACATTCCAGAAGAACACATCTAAAGGGAGGAGGGATGGGAAGGATTTCAGAGTGGGAGGCTTGGGCTGTCTCTGCTGTGCAGACCACCCACCCTCTTAAGGTTCCAGAGCATCTGTGGCTTAGCATTCTTTGCCTGGACCCCTTTGGGACATGCCCTGGGATCTGTGCTGACCCTCAGATAATGACCTCCGACTCTGGTCTCATCTGAGGGAACGCCACCTTCCTTCTGGGAGCCTTGTCACACAGCTATGACAGTACCATGTCATCATTTGAACGTGCCTCCTCCCAAAGGTTCGTGTATTCAGAGCCTGGTCTCCACATGGCGATGTTGGGTAATAGTCAAATGAGTATAGTCTCACAAGACTCCAGTTAGTTCTTAAAATAACAAGTTCTTATAAAAAGCTCACCCCAAGTCCCTCTTTAGCTTCCTGTCTCATGTGTGGTTATCACTGTCACCCCATCTGTCATAAGGCCCTCACCAAAGCCAAGCAGATGTGGGCCGTGCGTGCTCTTAGACCTTCAGAACTGTGAACTAAATAAATCTCTTTTCTTTTTAAATTACCCAGCCCTGCGTGTTTGGTTACAGCAAGAGATAACAGGTTAAGACCTGGGAGAAAGAGGGACTTCCCTATTTCTAAACCCAGATTCCAAAAGGATTTGAAGCCAACACATCCTTTCCCAGAGTTCTTTCATAAGAATAATGGAAAAGGTATCTAGTTATCTCATATCCAAGTAAGCAGCTGACACAGAAGCAGGAAACAGGAACCCGGTACTCCGTCCCTGTCTGAGATCTGGGTCTGCCAGGGGCAGCCCCCTGGCACCAGCACCCAGCGGCAGCTGACCAGTGGGGCCCTGACCCGCAGCCTGACCCCGACTCTCACTTGCGCATCAGCTTCTCCACCTCCCGGTCCTCTTCCTCCTGGAGTTTCTGAATGAAGCTCTTCAGGACTGGCATCTCAAACTTGATGTACTGGGCCACCTGGGGAGGGGCGCAAATCCCGCTGTTATTAAAAATGTTTCGCTGTAACTCTCTTCAAGGCAAAAGAAATCCCTTTTTTGCACTAACCCAGAATTTCCTCATTCTACCCCAGGCTGGTCAAGTCTGCATGAAGAAACCCGCATTTACATGTTTCCATCTGGTTACTTCTCAGTTTTCATTTTGTTATTGTGAGCCACAACTCCGGTGACTTCAAACAGAAAAGTACTTTCATATAGTGGTTCAGAAAAAGAGCTTCTAGGGCTGGCAGTGTAGCAGGTAAGGGTGTATGTGTGTGTGGGGGGGGTCTAGTCCTTCCCTGGGCTGGGAGTGTGGCAGGGGGGCAGGGGAGTTCTAGTTCCCTCCTGGGGCTGGGAGGGTGGAGGTGAGCTCTGACTTCCATCCCCAGAACTGCAACAAATCAAAGACCAAAGAAGATTTTAAAAACTGCTTTGTCTCCTCAGAGAGAAGGTGAGGAGTCATCACAGCCCAGCTCCATGTCTCCTGCCTCTGGGTAGCCAAATAGGGGGGGGAGTGACTGGCTCCAGAGAGTTAAAGAAACGACTTTCCCTCCCCAGCGCCCACCCCTACCCCCCCAAAAAAAACAGCTGAGTGGTGGTGGAACGCTTGGGAGGCAAAGGCAAGCAGGTGTTTGTGAGTTCAAGGCCAGAGTGGTCTACAGAGTGAGTTCCAGGACAGCCAGGGCTATACAGAGAAATACTGTCTCAAAAAACCAATCCCCCAACACCAAATAACAACAACAAAACAAACAAGCACATCCCTGACCTACTCTCTCAACTTTTCCTCCACCCTACAAGTGGTGAGTTTGCCTAGGTCGCTTGCAGTGGCCACTGGAATCCCTGTAGACTTGACACACTCTCAATCTGAGTGGAGACTTCAAATGAGCTTCCATGGTTCAGACTAGTTTCCTCTTTTAAAAATTGTTTACAGATTTATCATGTGACCAGCTAGGTGGCCCAGCAGAAGAGGAAACCCCTGGGAAGTCTCCTGCCTCCACCTCCCGCCTAGATAGACGTCTGTCCTGGGAATTCGAACTCACACATGTGCAGCTCTTTACCCACTGAGCAATCTCCCCAGCCCCTGTACCAGTTTCTTATGCTCCAACCACCAGCCATGGGGAAGAGTCCAGGAAGCCACTGCCCTTAGGCCAGATCTGAATAAAATAAAGCTCACCCGAGCCTGACACAGGGCTGCTGCTACCTGATAGCAGAATCATGAGGAAAAATGGTGAATGCTAAGGAGTTTGGATTTGGGGGTGCTGTTACTGTACCAACTAACACCGAAAAAAGAAATTCCCTGCTGAGTTCTTGGTGTTGAGAGCACGCTTCCAAAGCATGCTCAGGAGGCTCAAGAAATTCATTCCTCTAACAATCCCACAGAGCCCACTGCTATCAAAAGAACCTGATATTAAAGCATGGAAGCCATAGGAGACAAAGCTCTGATCAAAAAGTCATGCTGTAACCCAACAAGTCTCCTCCTCCCCTGCATCCTCGACGCTGAGGACCGACCACCAAGCAAAAGGGACTCACATCATAGGTGACCTCCTCCACCTGGTCCTTCTCCATTAGGAAGACTTTGGAGACCTGTTCACATGGGCCCTGGAGGATGCGGGCGATCAGGGGATAGTCAGAGTTCTTCAGTTTCTGCTTCTCTGAAATTGACACAGCCAAGGTAGCCTGAGCTCAGGCTACAAGCTTTCTCACCAGGAATGGTGGCCAATTCAGGGCTCCCAATGGGACAGGCAACTTAGGAGATGCAGCCACACGAGTCAGGCTACTTTTAACACAGACACACCAGCCCCCACCCCCACACACACTAGTTCCACTAGTCCCCACACACGCTAGCCCCCCATAACACTAGCCCCACACACACTAACCCCATACACACACTAGCCACACACACACACACACACACACACACACACGCAAGCTAGTCCCCCCACACACTAGTCCCCCCACTAGCCCCACACACACACTAGCTCCCCCCTCTCCCCACCAAACACACATACACTACCATGCCTCACACCCTCTGGAAGACACCACTCAGGAGGAACTGGGCATCTGCCTCTGGAGAAAATCCAGTTCATTTTCTAATAGGCCGTTAAGTTTGGGGATTTAGTATTACTGCCCACATGGCACTTCCTGGGGCACGGGTCCCGAAAGCCCACCAGGCTTAGGGACAAACAATAGTTAGAATTGTAGGAAACATCAACAATGGAATAGAGGGTTTTGTCTTGCACTTGCTATTTTGAGTTAATTGAAGGATGTGAAGCAGACTGGGTTCTTCAGACTTACCACCGCTGGTATGGACCACGTACAGAGCAAACTCCTCTGCTGAGTTCTCAATCTGAACCAAGAGCAAAACTAAATTCAGTGAAACATCCCAGCCTTGAGTCATTTGCTCTACCTCTGCTCTTTGAAGCCAGATCCCAGACTTCTACAAAGTAAGGGCTGTTTATTTACAACCAAGGACATGCAACGGGCAGGGGAACTGTCAATCATGCTAGATAATAGCAGTGGAGCATCCTTTACCCACAATGTTCGGGAGAAGACAAGTTTCAGATTTCAGAGTTTTTCAGGTTTGGGGATTTTGGCAGAAGTTTTACCAGCTTAGCTTCCTTCTACAGAACCCTGAGACCCAAGTTGATGACTAAGTCACACCATTGCTCAAGAAGTTTCTGGGGCTGGTACATTTTAGATTTCAAGCTTTTGAACTGGAATAGTTAACACATACCAGAATGGGAGTCCCGCACATTTAATGTGTTCATTTATCTCACACTATGACATCCTCTAACACGTCCCGTACTATGGCATCCCATAACACACGGCACCACACTCCACTCTCACTCTTAACATGTGCTCACTCATACTATGACATCCTAAAACGCGTGGCACCACCATCCTACAAATAGGAAAGCCAGAACTCAGCCATCTGGCAGGTGGTGCATGGGAACCCAAACTCAGAGCCTTTGTCCTAGGCTGCCCTGGATTCCATGAAAAATAAGAATACTCGAGCCAGCAAGACAGCTGGCTGTTTGCTATGTAAAGCCTGATGGCCTGGGAGGGAGGGAGGGAGGGAGGGAGGGAGGGAGGGAGGGAGGGAGGGAGGGAGGGAGGGGGAGGGGGGTAGGGAGGGAGGGGGTAGGGAGGGAGGGAGTCAACTCCACAAAACTGTTGCTTGCACATGCATCGTGGGACACGCACATCATGGCACAAACGTACACAAATAATAAGTAAAAAAATTAAAAGCAAGGGCTGAGGGTGTTTGTGGCTTAGTGTGAGGATTTGAATTTGAGTCCTAGGACAACTAAGTAAATAAGTAAGTAAGTAAATAAATAAATCATTTGGGACAAAAAGAAGAGGAAAAAAAAATACTAGCTAGGCTCACATGTATAGTCCCAGCACACCAGAAAGCTAAAGCCATGTCTCTTGAGTCCAGGAGTTTGAGACCAATAGGGCAATATAGTGAAGTCTCATCTCAAAAACAAGAAAAAAGTAAACAAGCAACACTCAGTGTTTTAATTGGCATCTTGACACAATCACCGGGAAATGAGTCTCAGAGGGGGATACCTACAGTCTGTTGGCCTGTGGGAGTTATCTTGATGCTAATCGAGGTGTGGGATCTGCTCACTGTGGATGGCACCATTCCCTAGGCAAGCCCCACCCCCACCTCCCACCCTGACAGCCCTGAGGCTCACGGCCAACAGAGAGAACTTGCCTTAAACTTGTTGAGCAGCAGCTTCAGGACCTGCGGGGTAGTCATGGTACTGTTGATTCGGACATTGGTGACAGAGCCATAGGCTGGTGTGAAAACTGATGTCTGTCAACAGAGGAGTCTGGCTTAGGGGAGGAGTATCAAAACCAGTGCCAGCATCAGGCATGAATGTAGACAAAGTGGCCCTTGGGGTTTGTTCAGTTGGGACTATGTTCCCCTGGGAGTTCAGGTCTGAGCTCCAAAGAGCAGGGCTAGGGTGACACCAGATAAGCAGAGTATTCAGAGACCCTTCCTTTGAGAGACCAGCCTCCCAGCATGTAGCTGTGCATGAGGTGGTCTCCGGCCACCCTCCCACCGCGCACTTGCTTCCGGTGGGATTTAAGCAGCAGAAAGGAAGGGATGGTTAGCTAGTTTGGGGTTCCCGAGGTGGCAGCATGCTGAGCTGCACTGAGACCTGTAGCCTTGCTCAAAAATAGTCATCAGCTTAGGGGGTCAGATGGCAGCAGAGAAAGGAGTAAATCATTATGGTCCATTTTCAGGGGGTGCATTTGCAGCTTGTCAGAGAATCACAGAGAGGCAGGGGGTATCAACACCAAGCCCTTGTGTAGCTGGTGCCAGTGCTTGCTTGACTGAACACTCTCAGGACATCCTAGGGGTTGAAAAGCCACAGGCGGCCTGCTACATGACTGAGCCCATGGATCTTTAAGGAGATTCAAGTCCCAGGATAGAAGTTAGAAAATTCTGCATCCTGATCCAACAGGATGGGGAATCTGTGGAGGAGACAATACTAGACTCAGGGAACATTGTACCACTCTAAAAACCTCAGCCAATTTGGAATGTAAGGGTCACTAAGAACTTAAATGCGATTAGGAATGTAAAATGCTTGTTTTGCACCAAATGGCCTGCCTTCCTGCCTTTTCTCTAGGATGCCACTGACTTTGCAAAGTCATGAAATATAAATGCTTGTTCTTTAACTACAGAGTCCCTAGCACTCTTATTATGAAGTGAGGATCACTGTTTCTCACACTAGGAGGAAAGCACAGGGTCTGGGGGAGACCAGGGGTTGGAGCAGGAATTAACTACACAGACTGACCTGCCAAGGTGAGCAAAGAGGCCATGAGAGGTGCTCATGGAGCTCTGAAAACTAAGTCTCTTCACACAGGCTACTGAAGTGCCCCACACCTAGTGGGGGCTGTCCTCACCCCAGCCCTGAGTCTCTCAAGAAGCCAGTAACTCCATCCCACCCACATCCCTCAGGCTGAACCAAAAATTCTTGGCTTCCTAGGTGCTTCCTCCTCCCCTGGGACCACATGGCCATAGCACGGAAGCCAGATGCCCAGAAAGTAGTGATGTCCCCAAGGTTGTTCCTCTACCTTGTGGTTGTAGTAATGGCCATTGATAGAGAAACGATGGCGTCTGATTCGCCGCTGGTCACTGGATGTCCTTACATTGCCACGGCGACGCACCCCAACATCACTGCGTGTGCGCATCAACTGTGGCGTGTCCTCCTGAACAGGCTTCAGGCCCCTGGAGTCTGGGGACAAAGGGGGAAATGAGCTGTTTGCTTGAGCCCGATTCCCTATGAGGCTGACTCCCCACTGTCTCCCCAGAAACACATTTTATAAAAAAAGATTTCCTGATGAAGGAGACACACATAATTTACCAAGGAGTTAACAGCCACAGGTTCTAAGCACAGGCCTCAGAGCCGGCTCCCCAGGCTCAGATCCCAGGTCTACCCCGCCAGGTTTCCCTGGCCTCTCATGCCAGTTTTTTGAAGGGGTAACAAGAGCCTCCACTTGTGGGATCATAGTGAGGGTGTAAGTAAGTTAATACATATAACAGAGCTGAGAACAGCACCTGACTCGGGCTAAGCCCCACCCCAGGGCATGCGAGATGCTGCAAACAAGCTGCCACCGGCACAGCATGGGAGGGGGGGGGCTCGAGGCCGGGGCACAGCACTGGGGGAGGGGAGATAGGGAGGCTTGAGGCCTTATGCTTGACATCAATCGGCTGGTCATACAAGGCTATGTACTTTGTGAGTCAACTCACACAAGCTGCTCACAGCAAAGTCACAGAGACAGGAAGTCAAATGGCAGCTGCTACTGGTGAGGGGGCTCGGGGACTAGGGCTCCTGACAAAATTCTTACCTTTTAACTTAAAAAAAATATTGATCCATGTGGGTTTTATATATTTATACAAAGAGCCACAGGTTTGAAACACAGCAGCTGTCACTCCAATGGCCCTAGCTGGAGCTCACATACCTGTGGGGCTGGGTGTCTCCCTGCCTTCAGCAGGCATATCCACTTCTGAGATCTGAACGGTGGGCGTGCTGAGGGGCTTCAGGGTGGTGCTGGAGGTGGCAAACAAACGGGAGAGACTTGTTTAGCCCCTGAGAGGGTATGTCTCAGTGTCAAGGCCCCTTCCTGCAACGGGAGCTTTTGCACATGCTACAGACAAGAGATGCAGGCAGGCTGTGCTGAGTATCCAGGAGGCTGGCCCAGACCCTATTCTAAGTGTTGGATGGGGGTGGGGAACTCGGGAGAAAGATGTCAGTCCCCACCTCTACAGCAGCACAAACTCCCAGTCCATGAGCCCCAGAAGGGAGAACCCAGAACAAAGCCTGCATGTGGCCTGCACCAAGTCTCAAAGCACGTGTGGGGTCTACAGCTCATTTTCCTAGGACACGACTGCAGGCTGGCTTTCTTTCTGTTGGAAGAATATCTCAGAAGCTGCCTCTGGCATCTACGGCTCGGGAGTGATGAATACTCTCAGGGTTGCAAGCTGGAGAAGGGACCACAACAGGTCACCTGAGCTGAGACCCGGTTTTGCTGTGGTGACTTGGAGCCCCAAAGAGAAGTGGAGGCAGCTCAGGAAAACACATCCAAGACCAACAGGGGATTCCGTCTGAAGGGAGAATCTGTTTGACAAGGTGAGAAGAGGCTTTCCCTGTATTCCCAGGATGGTGGCATTAGGGAAGAAAAGTAAAATTGAAAAGCTGCAAGAATTTCTCCTCACAGCTGTCTAAGATCAGTCCACATCCTTCAGAGCATGGCAGACGCTGGGCCCAGGTGGCACTCCTCCCTCTGGGGTCCAGAGAAGAAACCGGCTTTGGCAACTCACACACAGTCCTACAGGAAACGTTTAGATTGCGCTGTCATCTGGGACATGCTTCCAAAAGCCCTTAAAATATTTACAGGCTTCAAGAACCAGCTTGTTGTCAGGGGATGGAGAAAAACCAAGAGTGTAGTCTGAAGGATCCCTGGGCAGCTCCAGCCCAGGGCATCAGGGGGAAATGGGATGTTTAAACTCATCTCACTTGAAGAACAGAATATAACAATGTAGAGGTCAAAGCCAGGCTGGGAGGGTCCAGCCCACTGGAAGCCCAAGCCCTGACCAGGCTTCTCCATGCCCAGTGGGAGGGGCAACTTGGTTCTCTTGGGAAGAGCCAAGGTTGGTTCCAGGGTTTGGCTGTTCTGTAGATATTTCTCAATTAAGGAGAATGATACACTTGGCTGTGGAATGTAACAATGTTCCAGGCAGCCAACAGAGAGGGAGGGCTCAGTTCCCCTTTAAAGTAGAAAGCACGTCACTGTGGTTTTGGCCGAGCAGCCATCCCACTCCACCCAGGCTCTGGCCCTAATGCTACCCACCTCAGCGAGTTTCGAGGGGAACAAGGCTAGTCACTTGATCTTAAAACTGAAGTCCCAGAGAAAACAAAAGATCTGCTCAGTGCCAGCAACCAGCTGTTAATTTGGCCACCGAAGGTTGGTCTTCACCCACCTTGCAGTGAGGACCAATAAGAGACCTCCTAGACTACTGCTGTGTGCCATGACCTGTCTCCAGTGTATGAGAGACCCCTGGCTGACCTCACTTGGCTAGCTCAGACAGAACATTCCTTTTCTTCCATTAGATTCCACCAAGATAGATTTGATCAGAGGGTTCAAATCCTAGATGTTCCAGGAGCAAGCCCATTCCAGCTGGGAGGATGTGTGTGGGTTGGCACCCTGTCAGAGCCTGCAGGCTTGGACCAGTGAGCCACTAACAAGAACCCTGGAGAGTCCAGGGTTGTCCTTGAGGGAGGACCGTCTGCCACCATGCCTTGGCGCTTCCCTTGCTGATTCAGAAGCACTCCTTCTCACTCTGCTCCTGTGGAGTCAGGTCAGACGCCCCTTCCTTCCCCTCCAAACCCATGGCAGGTAGCAGTGAGGGGTTCTAGGAACTGGACTGGGAGCCCCCTGACATGCTCCCTTCACTCACCCCTGTGCTCCCAGGTTACAGCCGGAGTGCCAGGAGGAGGAGGACGGCGGGGGACGGATGCGCTCGTGGTCGTCCTGCATCTGGAGCCGAATGGGCCTGCGCAGCCCCCAGGAGATGTTCAGCAGCCCCTCCACAATGAACTCATCTTCTTCCTGCCACGAAGCAACCGGGTTGCTAAGCCCAAAGTGAATGAATCCACAGGATTCGAGTGGTGAGCAAATCCTAGCTCTGAGGTTCACTCTGCTGTGAAGTCCCTAGCTCCCTGCAGCTGACCTCGAAGGTCAGAAGCACAAAAGTTTCTGTGAAGGGCTGAGCTAAGGGAGACTCTGGGCTGCATGGGGCGATCCCCCACAAACACATTCCCAAAACCCTGTCTCTTGGAACTTGAGATACACATGTGCGATTCATCAAACCTTTTTATTGTCTCTATCCTCATGACTTTAAGGAAATCAGAATACAATGGCCAGGTATGGTGGTAGCTCATACCTCTGGTGCCAATGCTCAGGAAGCTGAGGCAGGAGGATTGCTATCAGTTCCAAGTCAGTATGAGCTACAGAATGAGCCCCTAACTAGAAAAGGCAAGGGAGAGAGGGAGGGAGGGACAGAGAGAGGGAGAAGGAAAAGACAAAGATGGAAGAAAGGAAGGAGGGAAAGAAATTCAAGATCTTAAAATAACAGATACCGGCCTTACTAATTAGAAGCAAGAACAAAACCCTTGAGCTGGCTGTTCCCCTTGCATTTAGCAATCCAACTTGACTTTGTGTAACAGCGACTCAAAGCTTTCCCCAAGTTTACTTACAGAACATGCTCCTGGAGCAGAACTGTTGCCTTAAAAGGTGTCAAGTGTCCGCCAGCTGCCTTGCTAATCTGATTGTTTCTTAAAGCAAAACTCCCCTGTGCTCATCATAATCTAACAACCACGACGCTTTCCAAGAGGTGAGTTAATCCTTCAGAAATTCCAAAGTTGTACCCAAAGGTTGTTGACTAACAAGAAGTTAACTAAATGTAAAACCTGCCTAAGTGCAGCCTTCCAATCCTATTTAGACTGGAGATACCAGAGAGGAACTACAGGGTCTTTCCGATTTGATTACAAGATGTTCCCACAGGGTATGGACTAATTGTTTGGTTCCTTGCTGGTTCCTTCCTAGGAGGAAGGGTCTAGCTGGAGGAAGCGGGCCACTGAGGGTTATACCTGCTCTCTAGTAACTTCTGTATGTCTCTACTTCCTATCTGCTATGAGGTGAAGAAATTCTCCTGCCACACGCTCCCACCACAGCATGTTCCACCTGGGCACACGAAGCCAAGTAACCACAGACCACGCCCTCTGAAACCATGAGCCCAAATATCCTCCCCTTCTTTGAAGTAGTCTGCCAGGCTGTGCATTCACGGCTACACAAAGTCATCCAAGGACAGAAGCAGGACAGCCAAGCAGGCATGGTCCTATGCAAGGCTCACGCTCACAGCCCAGCCACCAGTTAATCCCCTACAAGGGTCAGGCTTCGTTTCTCCCATCTGAACCCAAGCTTTCATGAGTGTCAGAGAAGTGCCATGAACATCTTCAGGACATCTGGTCAGTAGTCAACTGACCTGGGCCAAAGGATCGTCCTTGTGGTGAGGGGGAGACTAAACAATATGGGAGAGGAAAGCAACAACATTGGGGGCATTTACTGCCTTCAGGAGAAAGGCTTTTATGCAGGTAGGGCTGGCTTTTTGTATGGTTTCCAGCTGGCCAGGACTAGCATCGCTCCCTTATTCTAATAGCAGGGTAGGACTCAAAGTAAAATGCTTTAAGAGACAGGGAAAGGCCACTGCCCCGTGTATTCTCTCTCTCTCTCTCTCTCTCTCTCTCTCTCTCTCTCTCTCTCTCTCTCTCTCTCTCTCTCTCTCTCTCTCTCTCTCTCTCTCTCTCTCTGTCTGTCTCTCTCTCTCCTCTCTCTCTCTCTCTCTCTCTCTCTCTCTCTCTCTCTCTCTCTCTCCTCTCTCCTCTCTCCCTCTCCCTCTCCCTCTCCCTCTCTCTCTCATATCACAAGTCCTGGGATCATCTTCTATGGCATGAGGGAAAAGGAAAAGACTGGGCCCTACCAGGGCAGGAGGCTCCAGGCTTCCTATGAGGACACCTTACCTCTCGGTGTCGGAGTTGCAAGTTCTGGCCTTCATAGTACAAGTTGTAGGTCTTCAGATGGAGGAGAAGTTCATTCCTTGGGAGAGAAGTACATTGTCAGCTAAAGCCATCACAGCGCAATCATTCCCTTTCTTGCTCACCCCTCAAATGGCCTCAGCAATTTTTTTTACTGTATGTACAGATGGAGGTGCACACAGAAACACGCATATGTATACACACATGCACACACAGGCATGAAGAGTTCTGCACCAACCACCCCATCGACACCTTTCCCTGTGACCAAGGTCAAGATAAACATTAAGAAGCAGCCTGGGACATCATGACATCCTGTAAAGACCAGCATCTCCAGCATTCTGCACAACCCACAGACAGGCAGGCAGAAGTCACAGAAACAGAGACAAATGGCCTTTCCATGTCAACAGGAGTTCTCCTGCCTCTCTTGGGTCTTTCTTCTCTCATGCTTACTGTGAGTGAGGACAGGATGACTGCTATTGGATTTCACAAAGCTCTGAGACTTCTGGCCCCTATAGGAAGTTGACAGGGATAACTTAGACTGTAGGAGGCTTAGCTTCAGGCATTGGAGAAACCAAGACTCTCAACCACAAGAGCCTATTTTTTTCAACTGAAGGAAATGAATGATGCCTTGTCACCTGAATACCAGAGTGAAAAGTGGTCAATCAACCTCGTGGTTCTTTGCTCTGCTATTAGGAGTAGCCTCCACCTGAATCCCCCAATATCCTGAGCATTGTTTAGACCATGATCCTGCAGTGAATAGAACACATCCCTGTAGAGTGTAGTCTTCCTGCCAGCCTGGTTCCAGATCCGCATGAGTCCCAAATGAACACACAGGAGGCTATATTAATTATGAAGCTGTTGGCCATTTGTTTGGTTTCTTACTGGCTATCTCTGACTTAAGTATTTAACCCATAATTGTTAATCTAAGCATTTCTCAGAGAAAGGGTCCAGACCTCTTACTACTCTGGTGGCTACATGGTTTCTCCTGTGTCTCTCTTTCCCAGAATCCTCCTCAACTCCCAGTCCCACCTATCTTGCTTCCCTATTGGCCAACAGTGCTTTATTGACATATACACAGGACTTCCCCATCACATCCCTATGAAAGAGGCTCCATGTACTTGTTGTCCTCCATCGATAAAATATATCCTTATGCTTATCACAGATCCTTCTCTGATAGGCCCTAGCCCTGAGCTCTGTTTATCAGCCAATAGAGTCCATTCTTATTATAAAGGTCACAGGCCACAAGTTCTACTATGTTTAAATGTTTAAGGAAAGTAAATTATGAAGTCAGTCCCTGGAGGGCTTGACCCAGTGCCCACAAAGATGGCACTGTCCTGAGTTTCATTCCTCATCCCTCCCATGGATCTTTCCACAGCAGGCCACGAAGCTTGCAAGGGATGGGGAGGTGTTTGTCCCTGACATTGGGCTTCAATGACAAACCAACCCCTGTCATGTTTAGCAAATTCTCATCAACAGAATAAAGGAAGTTTTTGTCACACAATGGAGTAACATACCAATGAAAATATGAATGTACCACATACTATACTGATGAATCTCAAGAGTGTTATGTTAAGTAGAGGAAGCCAGACCTCTTGGAGAGCAGTGAATAGACATGGGCTAGAGAAGCCTTCGGGACCCTGGGAATCTTCTACTATTAATACACATGCCTGCTGTTTATCACTCACTCCATGAGGGACACCAGGTGACAGCTGTGTGTGTCTTCTTCCCAGGGAAGAGGTGACAGAGCTCAGCTCTTCTAAACCCAGCAGGTCAACAGAGAGACTGTGGTTCCCAATGGGAGTCAAACCCTCAGAGAGTCCCTCAAACAGGCTAACCCTCAGAGAAGGAGTCATTCTACACAAGCCGGACTGAGATAGAGAAAAATGTGACTCCACAAAACCCCAACCAAAGGCTCACTGTGCTATCCAAAAGCCCTGCTCACTATAAGTCCCCAGGGAAACTCTTTGGTGAAGATGCAAGAATGTTCTGGATCTCATATAGCAGGCATCTCTACGTGGCCAAATATAGTGTCTAAAACAACTTAGTCTCAGATAAGCTAAATCATTTTTACAGGTGGGGAGCATCCAAGAGGTAAACTCCCTATGCTGGGTATGGAAACTTGCAGTGGGACGGGCTGGAGACAGAGCTTAGTGTGTAGGGTTTGCCCAGGGAGGTCCTGGGTTTGATCTCAAGGGGATCGGAATCAATGTCTATTCAACCTCTGTTTTATCAGCAAAGCCTGTTCCAGAGACATTAATGCATAGGAAGTCATGGATCCGTCCTTTCTCCTTTTTCCTCCCTCATAGTATGGAATGAACTGGGCCTTGGGAGTATTAGGCAACTGTAGCAAGAGGTACATTCCCAGATCCTTTTTCTTTTTAATTTTGAGATAAGACTTTATAACTCATTACAGCCCAGGCTAGCTATGAACCAACAATCCTCCTGCCTCAGCCTCCCAAATTGCTGGGATTAAAGGTGTGTGTCACCAGGCCCTACTGACCCCGGCTCTTTTTTTCAGAGGGTACTTGTGTCAATTTTAGTCAGAGCCACAGTAGTACATGGCACACTATCACAGCCTTGTCTTTCCCTAGGCAACACCACAGCAGGAGTAGTAAGCATGTTTGTGACCAATTTATGGCAGTTATGACAAAATACTATACAATAGGATTTCAATTCTCAGCTGAGAAATTCATGATGAGGCTATAGATGATTTGGTGTTTAGCAAGGGCTAGTCCTTCATGTCTCCTTCCTGCTTCCTCACATGGCAGAAGGACAAGCCAATACCCTCCCTCATTCCACCCCTACAGAAGCCCACATCCAGCTGGGTGGTGGTGACTCATGCCTTTAATCCCAGCACTCGGGAGGCAGAGGCAGGCGGATCTCTGTGAGTTCGAGACCAGACTGGTTTACAAGAACAAGTTCCAGGACAGCCTCCAAAGCCACAGAGAAACCCTGTCTCAAAGAAGAAGGAGGTGGTGGAGGAGGAGGAGGAGGAGGAGGAGGAGGAGGAGAGGGAGGAGAGGGAGGAGAGGGAGGAGAGGGAGGAAAGGGAGGAGAGGGAGGAGAGGGAGGAGAGGGAGGAGAGGGAGGAGAGGGAGAAGAGGGAGGAGAGGGAGGAGAGGGAGGAGAGGGAGGAGAGGGAGAAGAGGGAGAAGAGGGAGAAGAGGGAGAAGAGGGAGAAGAGGGAGAAGAAGAAGAAGAAGAAGAAGAAGAAGAAGAAGAAGAAGAAGAAGAAGAAGAAGAAGAAGAAGAAGAAGAAGAAGAAGAAGAAGGAGAAGAAGAAGAGGGAGAAGAAGAAGAGGGAGAAGAAGAAGAAGAAGAAGAAGAAGAAGAAGAAGAAGAAGAAGAAGAAGAAGAAGAAGAAGAAGAAGAAGAAGAAGAAGAAGAAGAATAAAGAAGAAGAAGAAGCCTCCCACATCCCAATTCATCACCACAGACTTCAGAGGGAATTTGGTGGGGGTGGGGGTTAACACACATTCAGAGCCTAGCAAGCAACCATCAACTGACTCCTCTTTCTGGAAGCCTTGTTTGAGTTTCTGAAGGTGCTGTGTCCTGTTACCCCTTTACTGGTCAGGCTAGATTCACTGGGGCTTTCTTCCCACTGCTCTCACTAGTCCATGTAAGCTGCTTAGCGGCTCACACAAATGAAACTCCTCTCCCGGTGGCTTCCATCCACCTACAGAGTCCCAGCATTGGCTGAGCAATACTATGAGACATCTTACTTGGACATGTATTTATCTTGTCCGCACGGGACTAGGGCAGTTTGGTGCGTGTAGTCCATCCTTCCCTTCTCTTTTCATCAGAAGGAGAAGCCTGCAATTAAAAGGAAAAGCCAGAGTTTAGAGACACGTTATGACCTTGGAAGACACAGCAGGACAGGAGATCCAGCAGTAGACAGGAGACAAAATCAGCTGGAATCTTCCCCCAGATTCACAGCTGGAGCTGCCCAGAGTAAGCAGAGCTGATGAGACGCCATACTGGCCCTGCTGGTCTCATATCCTAGAAAAAACACCCACAGCAAAGACCATAACCTCCACCACAGCCAAGGAAAATACGGAAAACAAAGTTGGGCCAAGGATGGCCAATGAGTCTTCTCTCTAAAAGGACATCTGCCACGCAGATCAGCCTCATCTGGCAGGGACCTCCCAAGTCTACTGAAGTTGACCGAGGGCAGGAAAACACCTGAAGCATTCAAATAAAGCCATGCCCAGCCATGCAGCATAGTTCTGTGAGCACCACTGGAGTGCAGTGCATGAAGAAAATCCATTACTTGAGAAAACAAGTAATGGGTTAGGAAATTCAGTCTCATCTGTTTCATTTCATGTCACAGTAGCATGCCTATGCCTACACAGCCCAAGTATATGAAAGCACATATTTGAATGTGCTACATAATATGCCAGGGCTTCTCAGCCTTCACCCACTGACATGTGCAGCTGGACTGTGCTCTGTTGTGGGTCTAGCCTTCACTCACTGACATGTGCAGCTGGACTGCGCTGTGTTGTGGGTCTTCCCTGTGCATTGGGAAATGCTTGCCAGTCTCCCTGGCCTCTTCCTCTCGAAACCAGGAGCACTGCCCCAGCCATAACTATCACAATGGTGTCTAGCACTGAGCATGGTGGCACTTGTCTGCAACCCCAGCACTTGGGAGGCTAAAGAAGGAGGATCATGAGTTTGAGGCCAGCCCAGTCTACATAACAAGTTCCAGACAAGCTTAGACTACGGTGAAATTATATGCACGAACAACAACAAAAACAGTTCTCCAGCCTCTTGGATCCAAGCTGCCTCTGGTTGAGTAAGGAACTCTGGCCCTTACACAGACTCACAACTGAATAGAACTCATGAGTTCAATGCCCCACAAACACATGGTAGCTCACACCATCTACGAGATCTGGTGCCCTCTTCTGTTGTGCAGGCAAACATGCAGGCAGAGCATTGTATACATAATAAATCAATCTTTAAAAACTAAAAAAAAAGAAAATCAAAAGTAAAAACCATTAAAAAGGGAGTTATGAAATGTAAGAGTGACGGCTGGTTGGTGGCTAGACCATCCTCACCACTACTATACTTACTCTGAGAGGCGCCTGGTCTGCCTTCCTGCCAGTTACCAACCCGTTATTTCTGAGGCACCACAGAAAGTGCAGGTACCAGATACTTTCCTGTGACAGACTTCAGCATGCCTATCATTAAACCAAATTCACTGTGTTTGTGGGAACAGAAGGGGCCTGCCCTGATCATACCTCGAGTTCGACTCCAAGAGAACAGAGCCAGACCCAAAGAACCATCAGACAATAAATCTGCATTGTTTTAAGGCTCTGAGTTTGGGTGATTTGTTCCAGGAACTACGGGAAATGAACAGAAGGTTTCTTCAGTCAGAGTGGGGTCTAAGTTCTAAAAACTTGTGTTTTTCCAAACACCCAACAAAGTCTGACTATGAGAACAGAGTAAGTATGCACTGTGCAGAAGAGAAAACAGGGCAGGAAGTCTGTCCAAGAAGCTTTTCTTTCCTTTGCAAGTGACAGTTACTCTTATCTAGCAAATGCCCGCAAAGGCCTCTTCCTAAGCACTTGGCGGTTTTCACATTCCATAGCATTCACCGAGTGTTGTCTAGCTGTGCAAAGCTAACAGTTTCCCTGCTGTCAGTGTGTAGGCTGTGTAGACAGGAGGAGTAAACAGTTTATCAAGGGAGGGCAGGTCCATGGTGGCCCACAGGAAGGACAGCATCTGAGTTTAGGTTGGGTTCTGGGGGCCAACTGGATTCAATGACCACCCCCAACTAAGATGTCAGTGGCAAGAGGGTGATGACAACAGTAAGGGTAGATGTGCCCAGGCAGAAGTACATCTGTTGTAGAATATTAAAGATGTGTGACATTTGTCTATGCCGTGGAATATTTGTTTAATGATGCAAAGGTGTGCTGCATTCTTTTATGTTACATTTGTTTAACTCTGTGAAGCTGAGTTACTGTGCCTGTCTAAAACACCCGATTGATCTAATAAAGAGCTGAGCAGCCAATAGCAAGGCAGGAGAAAGACTATGTAGGGCTGGCAAGCAGAGAGAATAAATAGGAGGAGAAATCTGGGAAGAGATGGAGGAGCTAGAGAAAAAGAAGAGGAGGATACTGGGGGTCAGCCACACAGTCAAACATGGGATAAGAAGGAAAGAAAAGATACACAGAAATAGAGAAAGGTAAAAGCCCAGAGGTAAAAGACAGATGGGATAAATTAAGAAAAGCTGGAAAGAAACTAGCCAAGCTAAAGCCAGGCATTCATAAAAAGAATAATATCCGGTGTGTATTTATTTGGAAGCTGGGTGGCAGGCCCCCCAAAGAGCCAAAGAGTAAAAAGAGTCAAAAAACAAAAAACAAAAAGCCAACAACACACACCCTTTGTACAAGACGGGAGTGTGAGCCTCAGAATCAAAGCAGATAATGTCATGAGAATAGAGAGGGTTAGGACAAGCTTCTAGGTAGCCCTGCCAAGAGAGTGGGCAGAGGGAGAGGAGCCCCTAGAGGAAGAGGGGAAACAAGAAATGCAGTGTTCCGAAAGCCTTTAGAACAGGGTATCCAAGACAGAGGTGATAGTGGAGCAAGGAGCTGCTGATGAAGCCCAGGGAATGAACAGACACTTGTAGTCTGGCTGGAACTACATGAGAGTCATAGGAGACCTTGGTTAGAGTTGTTCTATAGGAAGGTCCCAGTGAAAATCAGATTAATGGTAAAGAATGAGCCTGGTGTCTCAAACACAGGAGAAGTGACATTGCGTTCTTTTTTGCCCAATTCTTCTCTTCCTTCCATTACTGGTTCTTCTGAAAACATGTATCCCCTCTACCCAGTACTATTCATCCATCCTCCAATCTATGACTCCTCCCAACCACCCATCATTCTCCCACCCATTCTTCTATCCTATATCCTATCTATCCATCCATCCATCCATTCATCCTCCAATTCATCCATCAATCCATCATCTTCTCACCCATCTTTCTATCTCCTATTCATCCTTCCATCGTTCATCCATCCTCCCATCCCTCCTGCCATCCACATTGCCATCTATTCATACAGCATCTTCTCATCCATTCATCATCCATCTTCCCATCTACTCCTCCTCTCATCTGTCCTATCTCCCATCCATCCATCCATCCATCCATCCATCCATCTTCCAAGCCTCATATCATTTTCACCCATAATCTCCATCCCTTTTTTCTTCAGAATTATTTAGCTAGTCTCAAACTCACCAAGTATATTTTCTGTAAGGCTCTCTTTGTTCATTGCTTCCACCATAACCTATAATTTAGTAATTTTGTTTTGCGTCTGAAAGCAGTCTACCCTGCTCTTCAGACAGTTCCCTTTTGACACCACATCCTCTTAAACCTACTGGGAATACCAATTAGAGAGTAGGAGCCTTCTGTGTAGTTATTAAAATCTACTTAATACTAGAGGCAAAATAGGCAGATCAACAAAACAATACACATGCAGAATTAACCCCAAATGTATCTGGAAACACAAAATGTGAGCAGCATCTCTAAATACCAGAGAAAAGATATACTACCAAAAAAATTTCACTAGAGGGCTTTCTGGCCTTTGGAGAGGACAATATGGAGATGGGAAATTTATTGTCTTTTATGCCTTCCACTAAAAGATTATACATGCACTGAAATTTAAATGTTAAAAATAAAATGGAGAAAAAATTTGATGAGTGTATGCTAAACTAGATGTGAGGGGAAAATTCTTTCCTAGTCAAGACTCAAACTTCAAAAACATAATAATTAAAAAAAAAGAAAGAACTATCACCTGGCGTTGGTGGCTCACGCCTTTAATGCCAGCACTTGGGAGGCAGAAGCAGGTGGATCTCTATGAGTTCAAGGCCAGCCTGGTCTATAGAGTGCGGTCTACAGCCAGGCTCCAAAGCAATATAGAGAAACCCTGTCTTCACAAACAAACAAGCAAAACCTATCAAAGCTTCCAACTTATGCATAGAAAAAATGTTTTAACCCCATAGAAAGTCAAAAGGCAAATAGGGGGATATATTCACAATGCATATGACAAAGGGCTAATGTCCTTAATACATAAAGGACCTTATCAATTCAAGTTATTGATAAATCTTTGAAAAAATGTTCCACCTGTCTTGTGATCATTTTTACTTACCAGATTAATAGAATCAAGTCATCTGTCAGCCTTGATTGTAGAGATTCTCCAAGACCTCACACTCATTCTAGTTACAGCACAATCCTACCATGGGCATAACCAGAAATGGTCTGCTATACCATCCGCACTAAATGTCTGCCCTAAAGACTCATGTTAAGCTACCCTGTTTTTTTCTGGCCTGCTTTCTCCTCACATTTTTTTCTTATTTTTATACTTCTTGAAGTGTAGGAGAATATTTCCATAGGCTACCATGTTGTCAAACTGATATGGCAGCTAGGTGGTTGCAGGACCCACCATCTCCTTCCCATGCTTCCAGCATCTGCATCTCTCTTCACAGACTTTCCAGCCATCTCTACAGATCCCCAACTACTCCCAACCAGCGGGGGAAAATAAAGCTAAGTTCACACACACACACACACACACACACACATGCACATTCTCCCCCACCCCCGTCTCTGTCCTTCTGCAGGGCAAGCCCCAGAGGCATAGCAGTAACAGTGGGATGGAAATTTAGAGTCCAGTTCCACACAGGAGGAGGGTCAAAGGAAGATGGTTGCTGGAGTTGGAATGTGGTTCAATTGGAGACTTCCTCCAAGGGCGACCCACAGATTCTATGCCCCTGAACATGGCAGCTGCTGGTGGGAATCCTCCTGTCTTCCCTGTTATTATCTAGAA